GGTTTTGGTGTGTGTGTGGGTCTTCCTGCAGGAGTTTTCCCTGCTGGCCAGCAACTGGGGCAGAGTTGGGTGGGGGTTCCCTGGGACTGGCTGTGTCCCAGGGCCCGGGTCCTAGGGGCCACATGTTAAGATTATTATCTTAAAAGTACTCGTTTAATGAATATACACTACATAGGGAGAATATTTAAATATTGTATAAAAAAACCTATAGATACAGTTTTGATATAATTACCTCATTTGATGGCTCTGAATAAGAGGAATTGAAGTCAAGACATGTTCCAGTACAGCCATGGTAAAAAAAAAATCGGGAAAGCAAGTCTTGGAGTCTTGAAAATTTTCTAAAAGTCATCATAATTTGTGAGCCACATACAAGATACAAGGAGCCAACAAGTATCAGCTTCCTTAGCTGTGGTCAGCCAGTGAAACAGATGAAGTGGATCTCTCAGGAAATCCTGTCTGTTATATTGGGGCATTGCCTCCTGACAGCAGCAGCAGCAGCAGCAGCAGCAGCAGCACCATGCTGCCTACGCTCCTCAGCCTGGTGTGTCCTGGTGAGTTCTGCTGGGAATGAATGATGTGGAGTACAAGGGTAGAAATATCAGCCAGGGATGCTGGATCTGCCCACAGCAGGGGGTCTGGCTTCCATGCAGTGGTGGATGTTGGTACATGAGTTCATCTTCACTGAGTGGACTCTGACTTCTAATGTACAGAGGACCAACCAGGGCAGAGAGATAGAGGGCCAGGCTGCTGGAAGGAGACAGTTCATCTGTCATGGGTCTTTCCCTCCAGGAGTCTTCCTGTTTCAGAGGACATGGGCACAAGTGGGTGAGTCTGACCTCAAATCATGGATTACTTCTCATGCTACACAGAAAGATTTTTCTGCAACAGGAAGGTAAACAGCATAGGGATTGGGCTGCTGTAAGGACTACCAGGAATGTCTGTGAGTGACATAAGTTGGAAAGCGGAAGGCCTGGAAATATGCTCTCTGATTCTGTCCCAGAGACCCCCAGACTTTCTTTCCTTGGTTGACTCAATCAACACTGGGGGAAAGGCTGGAAGAGGCCTGAGTGTCTAGGAAAAGTGACGTCATTTGTGTAGTGGGGAAGGACACATAGCTTGGAACACCAGTCCCTCTCAAGATGAGATGCGGATGCAAGCTTCCCAGAACATCCATGATGATGGAGCATGCAGAGGTCAGCTGTTATTGTACCAGAAGAGGTGGGGGAACTTAGTCCTGGGAATTCCAGATTATTCCAGTCAAACTCAGCTGCTTAATGTTTTTTTTTTCTGATGCAAATTGATGTCACTTGGTTCTCTGTTGATGACTACATTTTTATATGTAATTTATTTTCATAATGGCTTGGATCACTTAGGCAGTAGTTGCACAAAAGCTTCAGTAGGATGTGGCGTCATCATGTATTTCTGGATGTATTGGCTTGGAAGGAACTTCAGAAATACATAAGCAAGGAGAGCACTGAGCACAAAGGAAAAGGAGGTGCTCCTGCCTCCTCCTTTCTGAGATTGGGCCATTCTCTCTTCACAGGGGTTCCTGACAAGCCCACCCTGTCTGCCTGGCCTAGTCCTCTGGTTCCCATTGGAGGGCATGTGACTCTGAGGTGTCAGTCCCACTTTGGGTTTGAAATATTCCGTTTGTTCAAGGAAGATGGGGAGTCCCAAGGCACCATATTTCGACACAGCCTTGACATGTACCCCGTGACCATGGCACATGCGGGGATCTATAAATGTCAGGGCATTGCTCCTATTGTCCATGATGGATTGTCAGAAATCAGCAATCCCCTGTTGATCATAGTTACAGGTGAGACAGCCCATGTCAGAGGTGTTCTTCATTATCCCACCATTTCAATTGAGATTTTAAGTCTGATTACTAGATAGGAGTCCCCCAGAATAGCAGGGATGTCTTCAAGTATCTTAGCCACAGAAACATCAGTATAGGGGACTGGGCACTAAGGTAGTTAGGAGAGTGTTCCCCTGATGATATTCATATTCCCAGCCCTAGAACCAATTAATATTTGTCATGTGGTTTGATGGTTTGGTTGTTTAACCTCCACCTAAAGTTTATGTGCTAAAATCTTGGTTCTAAGGGTAGATGTGTTGTGATGGAGAGATCTTTAAGAGTGAGACTTAATACGAGATATTTAGGTTATGAAGGATACTGCACTCAGAAGGTTCTAATGTAGTAGTTTTCCTGAGACCCTGGTGAGTTCTCACCGGACAGTTGGTACAAAACAACTCCCATATGGAAGAGGGACAAAGGTTGAGGATGCAATTCATGGTTTAATCAGCTGCCTTTAAGATGAAGAGCATGTCCTGGGTTATCCACATAGGCTAGAGTAGCTACACTAGCTCATAAAAGAGAAGGAAGAAGATAGCGATGGTCAGAGCAAGGAAGCATGAGACACATTCCATTTTTTCCGGGTTCTGAAAACGAAGTGTCCACAAGCCACAGGAGTTCAGGAGGCTTCTATAATCTGGAAGATAAAAAGAAATATACTCTTCCTCCTGGGGCCTTTGGAAGAAATGCAACCCTTAAGACACGAGACTCATACCAGTGGGCTCATTTCAGACTTTTTACCTCCAGAACTAGAAGATATCACACATGCATGTTCCTTTTCTTATGCCATCTTTATGATCGTTTCTAACATCAGTGATTAGTAACTAGATATGTACCCAAGTCAGAGACAAAAGGAAGAGAGGCGAAGCCGAGGCAAGTATGACCAGGGGACTGTTGCTGCCATCAGGCTGAGAGGGGGGTGATGCTCGTGAATCCAGACTCAAGGCTGCCCTGTGTGAGCTGGGACTACAGACAAGGCCCAGGCACACTGGGTGAACCAGTCTAGCCCAGGAGAAAACACATCCTGGCAAGGATCTCACTTTTCCCCAAAAGGCATGAAATGTATACAGAGGGGAGCCTGAAACCCAGCGTGCCATGTTTTCTACCCTCATCCATCATAGAAAATAGAAGAGGTCTGTGGTAGATGAATGCAACAGTCATCTTCATGGGACAACCCCAGTCAGATGGAGCCTGAAGCTATAGACATAGAGAATTGAAGAAAAGACAGAAAAAAATAGATAAGTGTGTGGGGTTGGGAGATAGTCACAGAAGAGAACATGGGGATATGAGTAGGAGGAAAGACTTGGGCTTGGAGAACCTTTGTTATCCCAGTTTCCATGATGTGGGGTGAGGAAGAGTGACTCTCAAACTCACAACCTGTTTGTTTTTAGGAGTCTACAGAAAGCCTTCTCTCTCGGCCCTACCAGCGCCTCCAATAAATTCAGGAGAGATGATGACATTGAAGTGCTGTTCAGATGCCATGTTTGAGACCTTCATTATGGTTGTGTACAGAGAGGATGTAAATGAGGTCCAAATGCGTCTAGCTGGGGAGCCTTATGCTGGTGGCTCCCAAGTCAACATCTCTATAGCTCCTGTGACTGCAGCACACGCTGGGACCTACCTATGTTACAGTTCTTCTAGTCAACATTCCCATGTGTGGTCACACCCAAGTGACCCACTGGACATTGTAATCTCAGGTGAGAGTTTCCAGACTTATTCCTTAGGCTCTCGTTCATATATGTACTGAATGTTCTAGAACTGGGCAGTCTTAGGACAGGAGGATGGTAAGTATTGGGTACTTATGGAGAGAAATAGACTTGATGAGAGTTTTAATGACAGAGACTATGACAAAGGAAACTCAAGTTAATATTATTATATAGAAACAGATAAGAAGGTTTGGCAGAGGAAAGGGAGAGTTACGTATTTTATAATCTCAAAAATGAAATAAATAATTTTTTAAAAGCATAGATGGGGGGATCAGAGGAGTTATGAACAGAGACAAACAGCAGAGAAACCCTGGTGATACAACCCATGGGTCAGAAAGAGGCTCTTTCCACTCTTACCTTGTGAAGTTCAGAAACTGAGTTTCCATTTTACTACGTCTCCCTTCTCAACCAGGAAACCCAGACATATCCTCTACCTGACCTGAGTTTCAGGACTGTGCTGTGCTCTCTCACGCTGCTTCAACCATGATTCCTCACACTGCCTTTAGTTGGACCCTCCCTCCTTCCTCTGCTTGAGTCATAATGGCCTTATGTTATGGTCCTGGGTGAAGAGGTTGAACACCAGTACCTGTGTGTTTGTATGTCTTTCCTGTATCTCCAAACTGGCTTTTAAAGACCATATTCTGAAATAATCACTGATGTTATAGGATGACTCAGGAGAAAACTACATTTTGGGTCCAAAAGAGATAAGTAGAGTCAAGTAAATCAGAGATGTGGGCACACACAGAGGTGGGGAAAGGGAGGGGGAGGGAGAGAGAGGTAGGAAGAGGGAGAAAGAGAAAGAGAGACAGGGAGGGGAGAGAGGGAGAGAGGGAGAGAAGGGGAGGGAGAGGAAGAGAGAG